TGTACGTATAATTTTAGGCTCTTTCAAGCACACATCAATAATCCCTTACTCCATATCAGTACATTTGGTTGTTTCGTTAAAATGCCTATGGTATCATATTTGGTTCCTGAGCTGCACCCGTAGAGTATTTAGGCTTACAAACACAACCACTCTCAACAAGCACGTAGTCCTGACCAGTTAATGTAACAGGTCCAAGCGGTATGACCAAGAATAAATAGGGTACATATGTTTGGGTACATTCTCCTCGAACTACATCACACTCCGATGATCTATATAAAACAAAAAACAAAGTAAGAAAAACATCATTTTGGAGATAGTCCTGTATTGTATATTGAATATTTTCAAATAAAGTGTGTAGGTATTATCATTTTCTATGGTTAAAAAAACTTACTCGCACACTTCGAATACAACTTGCTGGAGTAGATCTGGAAACTTTTGCACAATCGTAACAGGTTGCCCAGAAGTTAAGCTAACACCATACATTGGCGCCGTTGTATTGTAGCGTGTCTTACAAAGACGTGCAGGTGTTCCATTGCACTGGTTAGTTTGAGAGTTCTTAATCGAGCGTCCTAAATAGAATAAGTAATATTTAAATGTATAAATATATTTTCTATGCATACTATGTATATGCACATATATATCAAATTTTTTATAAACTCACCATAACGATTACTGCCAACAGCATCATTGTTTACTTCATCATACGCCCTAAGTAGAGCGCTTGTTGTTATAGCTGGATCAAGTGTTGTTGGTATTTTACTTTGACGTCCCCTTCTTGAGCTTCCATTCCAGTTTGAAAACGTTCGCGCTACTGCTGCACTGCAATTATAATAAGACACACACATAAATACTTACATATAAATTTGTTGACAGATTATAAATAATCAATTATATATAAATTCAGAATATATAGAGAATATATTTATATATCTAGTGTAAAAATTCAATATAAAAAAACAACTTTTAAGTTTCAATGATAGTTGAACGAATAAAACTAAAGTTTTTATATACGAAGTATACGCAAAAACGCCCTGGATGTTTAAAAGTCACACGGCACCAAATTCAGCTAAACAATCGGTTCCAAAAGTCAATCGATGAGATCAATTTTTGATTGACTTGTGCAAAAAAACCCTACATGGACTTTTCAATAACCCAAATCTTCAGTCAATTCTAATTCTGTGACTTTCAATTAAGATTTTTATGCATCTTGAATGAGTTAATACAAAGTGTTTCTCTTCATTTATATCCTCACTTTTTTTTAAATCAACTAATCATCTCTTACTCGGAGGAATGTAGACACTAGAACTACTGTAAATATAAAATGACTAAAAATAAAGCATCTAATTTTCAACTATAGAGCTCTATAGTAGGCCCGACTTTTATAAGTGAAAAACGTGAACGGCACTACAAACGGATTCTTATTATTTTAGAGTCTTATTGTGTTGCAGGGCACAATGGACTTATGGACCCATTTTCTCATTTAATAAATCAATCATTCCTAGTACTTTGCCTATTTACTTATTTTTCACTTAAGTTTACTTAAATAAAACACCATATAAAACTTAATCAAGAAATATGTCTCTAATAAAAAAGGTACCAATTCTATTAGTTCTTAACTTGTATGCAAACTGATGTAAAAATGGATAAAAGTATAATAAAAATTATGGTAATAATAATAATAACAATTATCAACTGAAATAAAAACTCAACTAGAGACAAAATTATCATGAATTATGACGAATATTTTTGTCATTAACTACTAAGTATTCCATTTTTGTCAGTAATCAGTTTTCCTGTAAAAATGTTTTATTATATGTAAAGATATAAACATATATGTTCTTTAATTTTTTAGAAAAATTAGAGGTCACTCAGTTATTTATTCTCTATCTATTGTAAAAAATAAAGGTGTTCTAACTCATGATAAAACCATATTTTGGTTATTATACATGGATATAGCAAAGGCGAGCATATAGGTAATCACACACCCTCAAATGGATCGGTGATCAAGGTATGGTTCATAACAGAGAACTGCAATAAGTAATTAACACTCGAATCACTCAACTGTATTTTACTTATACGCATTGTAACTCTCTTTTTCGTATATTCGATTCCGTCTCATTTATATATACAGCTAACAGCATTTATAATTACATTGTGACCGAAAAGTTTTCGGGAAATTTTAAATAAAACGCAAAATTCTTAACCTTCATCAATATTTATT